TGCCAATGCTCGGGTCTCATATAACACAAACCCTGGCAAATGCAACCATCTGCTCATGCGTAGTTCTCCAATTAGAGAGACAGCAGTCCCGTGTCCCACCGGCACCCAAAGGACCATCTATGGACCCAAGTCAATATCAAAAAGCAATGAAGAATGGATCTCAAAGGCAGGATTATTTTAACGGAAGCACATTGCTTATGCTATGGCTCAGGGAAAGTAAATGCAATGATACCTTAAGATACAAGTAAGGGTCATGTTTACAGCTCTAGTCTTTGATATTGCAGAAAAACTATCCCTTGAAAAACCGGGTGTTAAACAAATGACTAGAGATGTCAAGTGATTAAAACAATGTGAGATGAAACACTATTGCTCATATAGATAGTTTAACTGCTTTCCCTCCTTGATGATTAAGTTATCTCATTATCATTGCTCAAATGACCTCTTCCCTCCAACTTTGGATGTGCAAGTCAAAGCACTGGGTGACTAACTCATCCCATTTGTGTGCACAAATGTACACACTTCCACAGGTCCAATCAGATGCCTCGAGAAGGGTGAGCTGCAAAAATCAATGGCCAGCATACGGTTTGCCTGGAATCTGGTACTGTAGAGAGATTCTGGGTGTCAGCAACCTGAGATCCTTAGACACAGGGAGGTATGGCTGATGGACACCGCAAATGCTCCGCAGCCAACATGTCTTTGAGCGCTTAATTCTTTCAAAAGCTGATTGTATAAAGTCAACCCCAGCAAGCAAATCTCCCTGAAATAGTATATTAGCTAAACATGATTTAAAAGCAAGCTCTGAAGCCAATGATTATGCCTGGCTGTTACAAGGAAAGCAATTTTCAAGCCGCCTATGTTGAAAGCAATCTCCAAGCAAGTAATTTCACAACATCCATCGAGCTGTCATATTAAAAAGCCATTGCCCTATCTATGGCATGCGTCTCCCCTCCCCCATGCCCCCACTTTTTTTTAAAAAACACTTATTTTTCTTCTCATACAAAGCAACAGCTTCCCACAAGCTTCAGATCTCCGCATAGAATCATAGAATCATAGGACTGGAAGGGACCTCGAGAGGTCATCGAGTCCAGCCCCCCGCCCTCAAGGCAGGACCAAGCTCTGTCTACACCATCCCTGACAGATGTCTATCTAACCTGTTCTTAAATATCTCCAAAGAGGGAGATTCCACCACCTCCCTTGGCAATTTATTCCAATATTTGACCACCCTGACAGTTAGGAATTTTTTCCTAATGTCCAATCTAAACCTCCCCTGCTGCACTTTAAGCCCATTACTCCTTGTCCTGTCCTCAGTAACCAAGAGGAACAAATTTTCTCCTTCCTCCTTGTGACACCCTTTTAGATATTTGAACACCGCTATCATGTCCCCCCTTAATCTTCTTTTTTCCAAACTAAACAAGCCCAGTTCATGAAGCCTGGCTTCATTGGTCATGTTCTCTAGACCTTTAATCATTCTTGTCACTCTTCTCTGTACCCTTTCCAATTTCTCCACATCTTTCTTGAAATGTGGCGCCCAGAACTGGACACAGTACTCCAGCTGAGGCCTAACTAGTGCAGAGTAGAGCGGCAGAATGACTTCACGAGTTTTGCTTACAACACACCTGTTGATACAACCTAGAATCATATTTGCTTTTTTTGCAGCAGCGTCACACTGTTGACTCATATTCAACTTGTGGTCCACTATGACCCCGAGATCCCTTTCCGCCATGCTCCTTCCTAGACAGTCGCTTCCCATCTTGTATGTATGGAACTGATTGTTCCTTCCTAAGTGGAGCACTTTGCATTTCTCTTTATTAAACCTCATCCTGTTTACCTCTGACCATTTCTCTAATTTGCTAAGGTCATTTTGAATTATGTCCCTATCCTCCAAAGAAGTTGCAACCCCACCCAGTTTGGTATCATCTGCAAACTTAATAAGCGTACTCTCTATCCCAATATCTACATCATTGATGAAGATATTGAACAGTACGGGTCCCAAAACAGACCCTTGCGGAACTCCACTTGTTATCCCTTTCCAGCAGGATTTAGCACCATTAACAACAACTCTCTGACTACGGGTATCCAGCCAATTATGCACCCACCTTATCGTGGCCCTATCTAAGTTATATTTGCCTAGTTTATCAATAAGAATATCATGAGAGACCGTATCAAATGCCTTACTAAAATCTAGGTATATGACATCCACCGCTTCTCCCTTATCCACAAGACTCGTTATCCTATCAAAGAAAGCTATCAGATTAGTTTGGCATGACTTGTTCTTCACAAACCCATGCTGGCTATTCCCTATCACTTTATTACCTTCCAAGTGTTTGCATATGATTTCCTTAATTACCTGCTCCATTATCTTCCCTGGGACAGACGTTAAACTGACCGGTCTGTAGTTTCCTGGGTTGTTCTTATTCCCCTTTTTATAGATGGGCACAATATTTGCCCTTTTCCAGTCTTCTGGAATCTCCCCTGTCTGCCATGATTTTCCAAAGATCATAGCTAAAGGCTCAGATACCTCCTCTATCAGCTCCTTGAGTATCCTGGGATGCATTTCATCAGGACCTGGTGACTTGCTGACATCTAACTTTCCTAAGTGATTTTTAACTTGTTCTTTGTGTATCCTATCTTCTAAACTTACCCTCTCTCTGCTTGTATTCACTACGTTAGGCACACCTCCAGACTTCTCGGTGAAGACCGAAACAAAGAAGTCATTGAGCATCTCCGCCATTTCCAAGTTTCCTGTTACTGCTTCTCCCTCCTCACTAAGCAGTGGGCCTACCCTGTCCTTGGTCTTCCTCTTGCTTTTAATGTATTTATAAAAGGTCTTCTTGTTTCCCTTTATGCCTGTAGCTAGTTTGATCTCATTTTGTGCCTTTGCCTTTCTAATCTTGCCCCTGCATTCCCGTGTTGCTTGCCTATATTCATCCTTTGTTAGTTGTCCTAGTTTCCATTTTTTATAGGACTCCTTTTTTATTTTGAGATCATGCAAGATCTCCTTGTTAAGCCAAGGCGGTCTTTTGCCATATTTTCTATCTTTCCTACACAGCGGAATTGTTTGCTTTTGGGCCCTTAACAACGTCCCTTTGAAATACTTCCAACTCTCCTCAGTTGTTTTTCCCTTCAGTCTTGCTTCCCATGGGACCTTACCTACAAGTTCTCTGAGCTTATCATAATCTGCCTTCCTGAAATCCATTACCTCAATTGTGCTGGTCTCCCTTCTACCTTTCCTTAAGATCATGAATTCTATTATTTCGTGATCACTGTCCCCCATACTGTCTTCCACTTTCAAGTTCTCAACTAGTTCCTCCCTATTTGTTAAAATCAAATCCAGAACAGCTTCTCCTCTGGTAGCTTTTTCAACCTTCTGAAACAGAAAGTTGTCTCCAATGCAGTCCAGAAACTTATTGGATAGCCTGTGCCCCGCTGTGTTAGTTTCCCAACATATGTCTGGATAGTTGAAGTCCCCCATCACCACCAAATCTTGGGCTTTGGATAGTTTTGTTAATTGTTTAAAAAAGGCCTCATCCACCTCTTCCACCTGGCTAGGTGGCCTGTAGTAGACTCCTAGCATGACATCACCCTCATTTTTTACCCCTTTTAGCTTAACCCAGAGACTCTTTACACAGCTATCTCCTACGTTCATCTCCACTTCAGTCCAAGTGTGTACATTTTTAATATACAAGGCAACCCCTCCTCCCTTTTTTCCCTGTCTGTCCTTCCTGAGCAAGCCGTACCCTTCCATACCAACATTCCAATCATGCGTCCCATCCCACCAGGTTTCTGTAATACCAATGATATCATGACAGCCTCAAGGATATAAACAACTATTCTTGCAGAAACAGCCTTTGTTCCCAAATCATTTCTGAATCTTGTTGGGTGTTTTTTTTATCTCCCCCTGCGATCACATGTTTAACGTTCTCCTCTGAGGGAATGGTTCTTTCCTCAGAAAGTGAAACCTGATGAACTTTAAGGGACTGAAGAACAATGTCATCATTAGATCCGCAGAGACCTGTGAAGTCTGCGTATCCGCCACTAGAAGAAGGTCCTCTTCTCTTTCCCAAACCACATACACTTTGATTAAGACAAAGAAGCAGGGCAGAAGGATTTTTAAAAATGTATTTATATATTTTGCTAAGAGGAAGTCCACATTCTGACTGGATGGTCCCAGAGGATCCGCTAACAGAATCTTTAGCCCTTGTTACATCTCCGAGCAAAATAGTTAAAGAAAGAGAATTTGGACCAGTTGGCCCAGAAATGTCTTCAGAACCAAACTCTGCACTCAGTTCCACCAGCGAACACCATATCCCACAGTGCACAGTTTAGAGACAGCCACACACAGTCTCAGTTTGTTACAAAACATTGCCTTCAGCAACAGCCCTTGCAAAGACTTAACTTTACACATGGTAAGCAGACCCAGGTCAGTCAATGGGGCTGGTAACTGGGTGGAAGTTAAACGTGCTCTTAAGTCTTTGCAGGACCAAAAACTCAACTGAATATCAAATAGCTGCATTTCCTTGACACGCTTTATGCCATTTGTCTCCTTCGCTAGTTCTCTCCATTGCCATAGTGCCTAATTCCAATCAATCATTAAACACACTGAATGGACAAAAGGAGACATGCTTACTTACAGACTTACACTGAACACCGCCCTTTGATGAATGGACAACGGGCACGCCACAGCCCTGTTTGATGGTTTTCATTATTAGTCAATTTCACTTCTATGAAATTGTCCATTACCACTTATAATGCAGTAGATCTAATGTAGCAAATGCTGCAGGGGAAGGGCACATTTGGGGGAAGGAAATTTGTTTTCTTTTTACAAAGTTTTATGGATACATTTCTAGTGGTTCTGAAAACATCTGTCCTTACAAAGTCTACATTTTAGGTCCAAAACTGCCCTAACACTGGACCTTAAATACCACATTTTTATAAAAGACGCTCACTTCAACTTGTTAGTAGTAAAGTTGTATTATTACAGAAAAACACAGGCCACTTACCTGGGCTCTGCAGGAACAGCTGTGTGATCCTTCTCCCAGGTGATGACAGGGGTGGGCAATCCTTCGATCCGACACTCAAATCGAGCCATACCATTTTCTTCCACTGTCTGGGATTCTGGCTGTTGAAAAAAACGCGATAAACCTGGAAAAAAGAAAAGAGTTCATTGCTTGACATCTGTGCTCTGAGAAACAAATGCATTCTCAGTTGTTTGAGAAGCTAGCTTGACATCTGTGCTCTGAGAAACAAACGCATTCTCAGTTGTTTGAGAAGCTAAGAGAAGAGAAGAGAAGAGAAGAGAAGAGAATTCACATTCATGGGCGGCGAGTTACATGGGTTCATGGTGCCCTTGCTCCACCAATATTCAGAGCCGGGGGCCCTGCTCCAGCAATATTTGGAGCTGGGTCTCTCCCCCGGCCCCACCTAGCAAGAGAGGGTGGGAGTAGAAGCTAGTGCCCATGAGGAACTGGCTTTAAACAGGCTCCCCAAGACAGCCCCAGAGTGTCCCCCCCCCAGCCCCATCCTGTCCCTGCCGTGCGCAGCTTTCAGTCCAGCTCCCACTTGCCGGCTGCTGCTGGACCCAGGTTGCTTTTGGATGAGCCATACAATTTGTGCAGAGAAGGGTGAATTTCACCCACTCAGCACTGCCCAGCACATGTGTCGCACAGACAGGTGTAAAGCAGGAAAACCCGCTTGTCCATTGACATTACACTAGCACCTAGAGCCCACACCCAAGTCAGGGCCCCCTGGGCTAGGCACGGCACAGACACACAAGGACACACACTCCCAGCAGAGTCAACGGGCCCCCCCCCCCCAGCAGAGCCGCCAGCTCCCGCGAGCCCCTGGACAAGGCTGGGGCAGGGGGAGCTCTGTGCTCCCAGAAGGGGTGGAGCCAATGGTGGAAGGGGCGGGGCCAAGGGTAGACTGGGTAGAGTCAAGGGCGCCAGTCCTCAGTGCTGCCCAGAACACGGCATATCTGTCCCCCCCAACCCTTAGTGCTTCCTGGAGCACGCAGCCCGGCACTTGGCTAGCAATTTAAGGAGAGGGGGGTTCTGGACACCGCCTCTGCTCCAGTTGCAGGGCACCGAGGCAATTGCTCTCTTTGACCCCCTTGGTGGCGGCCTGCACACTCCCTGCCCCGACGAGTTTATAAGCTAAGCAGACAGACAGACAGACAGACAAGGGGAGTATTATTATTGGCACTGGACAGACGAAGGCCTGAGGCACTGAAAGGTGAAGGGACTGGCCCACAGTCACATAGCGAGTGTGTCTGAGCCAGAAGCCGAGACCTGCCTACTGAGTGCCAGGCCATTGCTCTACCCACTGGGCTTTTCTCCCTCTTGCCAAGGAGCTGATTGGCTGTGGGGCCACAGAGGATGTACCCGGAGGCCTCGGTCCAACGAAGAGCACTGGGCTTCCCTCCTAAAACGCACCCAAGCCCCAGAGCCCCCTTGTCAAGTTTTACTCTTTAGAGTAAGGAGGTGGAAATTTGCGTCTGCTCTTCCTGCTCCCGTCTCACCCAGGGTGAGTGTCCAGTCACACCTGCCCTGGGGCCCCAACCTTCTCCCACTCCAGTGCCCTACGTCACCCGAGAGCAGACGGTGGTATCAGTGTGGTACTCTGAGGGTCTGTGTCTGCCCCACAAGAATTATTCCCCTGCGGACAAGTCTACACTAGATCTTTATAGGCTACCGGCTCGGCGGGGGGGGCTGTCCCTCCTGGAGCACAGCAAGTGACAGCGCTGTAAAGCGCCAGCGTGCACCAGGCCACAGCACTGGGAGCTGCACTCCCGGCACTGTTAGCTACTCCCCTTACGTCGTGGCCACTTTCCGTTTCAAACGCTGCCACGGCTGCGCTCTAAACAGGTAAGTGTAGACCAAGCCCCAGGCTGGCAATCTCAGAAGAGAGCCCCAGGACTGAATGGCAAACCCCTCCTTGGAAAGGGCGGGGTCTCAGGTGGAAGGGGTGGGGCCAGGCATTTGGCCCTCGGTGCAGCCCGGATACCCCCCCAGTGCCGTCCGGAGCATGCTACCTGGGGCTCTGGCAGCCATTTCAATAGTCCAGGCCACGGGGCAGTTGACCCCTTTCCCCGCCCCAATCAGAGGGACCGAGGGGGGGAGGGGGGAGTACTATATTCTGCTAGGAGTCTCACTGAAACCAGCAAGACTAGGGTTGCCAGGTGTCTGGTTTTGAACCGGACAGTCCAGTATTTGAGCTTTCTGTTGGGGAAACACACTGAGAAAATAGAAACGTCCGGTATGTTCTAAATAAGATGGAATGTCGATTGTGATGGAATGTCAAGTGTGTCCGGTATTTTTGTTGAAACCATCTGGCAACCCTAAGCAAGACTATCCATTGAATCAGGGGTGAGGAACCTTTTTTGGGCCAGGGGCCGCTGACCCACAGAAAAATCAGTCAAGGGCCACACAAGTGAGAAGCAAACAAAACCCAACCAATCCCGCGCTGACACGGACCCCAACTGAGAAGGGGACAGACACTCCCCACATTCCCCTTACACACCAGAGCTTGGGGGGGGGGCCAGGCTAGTAGATTTTGTGTGCTCCAGCCCCACGGAAGAATAGTGAAGGGTGCGGGGGGGAGGCTGGAGCACCAATGCAGACTCTCCAATGCTGAAGAGCCTTGGGGGCCGAGCCAGATCCAGGCCCCTGGGCCTTGGGTTCCTCACCCCTGCATTACAGTGCTCCGCAGGGTATCAAAATCTGACCTTAAGGTAGGATCCAGGAGCAAAGCCTGGACCATTTTACTAGAAGGCCATTTTCCAGGGCTCAGTGATGAAGGACTGGATAAGTCCTGCAGTACACTCCAGTGGGGAGAGTAATGGTGAAGCATTGCAACCACGTGGGCATTGAAAAGGCAAGGTGGCTGGCATGCAATGGCGAAAGACGGGAATGTCATCGTTTAAATCACTCTGTCGGGTTTAGCTGGAAGTCTCCCTTCAGCCTTGCAAATCTGTCATGAAAACTGACCCAGCTGGCCAGAAAACCTCAATCCCCGCCCTTCCCAGGACGATGACTAGAACGAAAAGCTTCTTATTTTACCTTCCGGTCGCCGAAGCAGCATGCTGCAGGTGAGCGAGTGCCACTCTGCAAGCCTGCCTGGGTATGAAACGGAACCCAAGCAGCTGCATGTCGATAATGGCACATTCAAATCTAGCGCACGGCCTTCCGCTGACATTTTACACTGAGCTGGAGCCCCGCCCAATCAGACTTTTAACCTGTCTCGAGAGGCGACCGCCCACCCTTCTCCCCAAAGGTCAGGTTGAGCAGTACAGAGAGCTCTGAGCTTGGAGAGATTCCCTGCCAGAGACATTACACCCTGGTCAGAAAAGGCCCTCTATGAGTGGAATTTCAACCTTCTCAAAATGCCTCTCTCATCTTGCCACCAAATTCTGTCTCCATGTATTTTCTCCCTTTGTTCCTGTTACAATTATTAGTATTTATTTATAGGATGGTACCATCCAGATAGCCCAGCTGAGGACACTGTAGAAAACCACTGTAACAAAACCCCTGCATGCCCTACAACAGGGCTACTCAACTCTGGAAACCCGGGGGCTACAACTTAAGTATAGTTGCATATACATGCACATATACATGCAAATATATGCAAATAGCTTCTTTCACACTGACGGGCATGAATACAAAGGACTTCCCACAATGCCCCAGTGCTCCTGGCACCTCCTCCCTGGGGGCTAGAAATGCCGACACCTGTACCTGTCTGTTTCAGCCAGCCCGTCCGCTTGCATCTTTCAGTGCTCACCCCGCCTGGTAGATGGTTCGCCGTTGTGGAGCGTGTTCCCAGTGGAGCCATGTTCAAAGGATCCCACCGTGGGCTGCATGTTGAGCCCCGGGTAAACCTGAACTGCACCGTGGGCCGCAAGTAAGCAGGCCACGGGCCGCGAATTGAGTATCCTGCCTTACATTGACCGGACTAGCAAAGAGCGGGGGAGGCAAATAGAAGCCTGGAGAGAGGAACGGACTTGCCAGAGGTCACCCAGCAGACTAGTAGCAGTTAGGAATGGAGCCCAGATCTCCTAAGCCGGAGCCTGATACCTTCTCCACACTTGCCCCTCTAAGTTTTGTTGGGTCTCTTGCACACGCCAATCTCCCAGCGACTACTAATGACATGCAGCGCCTTTGACCTCGAGTCTTCTGCTTCCAGGTCAGACTCAAAGTAACATCTGGTGACTGTCCCATGGCCCGTGTGTGCAATGAGCTGGTAGTCTCAGTAGATGTCCCCCAAAACACCACTGCAATTACGGAAGCGAGAGTGGGAAATCTGTGCCTACACCCAGGAGTAAATGGACCAAGGAGTGAAACTACCCTCTCATAATGAAGGTGCTCATTCCAGAATGGCTCATTCCATAACTGGTGGGCAAGGAGAAGAGCCTGCACTACCGCTGCACAGCTCACTCTGCAGTGAGGACTTTGCTCTCTGGGGCTGCCAGTCTGGGATCTTTCATCCACACTTAAAGGCTACGTCTAGATTGGCATGATTTTCCAGAAATGCTTTTAACGGAAAAGTTTTCCGTTAAAAGCATTTTCGGAAAAGAGCGTCTAGATTGGCACGGATGCTTTTCTGCAAACGCACTTTTTGTGGAAAAGCGTCCGTGCCAATCTGGACGCGCTTTTGTGCAAAAAAGCCCCAGTGGCCATTTTCGCGATCGGGGCTTTTTGCACAAAGAAATCTGAGCTGTCTACACTGGCCCTTTTGCACAAAAGTTTTGCGTAAAAGGGACTTTTGCTCGAACGGGAGCAGAATAGTATTTCCGCAAAAAGCGCTGATTTCTTACAGTAGGAAGTCAGTGGTTTTGTGGAAATTCAAGCGGCCAGTGTAGACAGCTGGCAAGTTTTTCCAGAAAAGCAGCTGATTTTCCGGAAAAACTGGCCAGTCTAGATACCGCCAAAATGTTTTAGGACTCTGCATGGCTTCACTTCTCCGTGTCCTTTAAAATCAATGGACGTGCAAATTCACTACAATCGCTAATTCTTCAAGCAGCTGGAATGCAGGAGAGACAAACCCACAATCAAGTTTGCTTCTACGTCCTCTGTAAGCTTTGTGTGACCCTTCTAACACAATCGCATGACACCCAAAACACAAAGTAAATATCATGCATATAATGCAGC